CACCTGCCCAGGGGTGGCACCACCCACAGTGGGCTGGGCCCTCCCACATCACTCAACAATCAAGAAGATGCCCCGCAGACATGACCACAGGCCAGTCCAACAGAGGAAATTCCCCAGTTGAGGCTCCCTTAACCCAGGTATGTCAAGTTGACACTAAAGCTATCCAGCACAATGAGTAAATGTGTATATTGAATGCTTATAACAAGAAACACAGTGCCAGACAGGATAAACCTCCTTTTGAGTTGTTGGTCAGGATAGTCCAAGAGACTCCAAAAATAACATAGTTATTTCTACATCCCTTGATTGCCTCCCAGAATTTGAAGGTAAGACCCTATTGTTGTATATAGCTTTAATTATGTTAAGGTGTATTTCCTCCAGTCCAGCTGCCTCTAGGACTTTTAACATAAATGCATGTTGGATTTTTGTCAAAGGCTATATCTATCTCTGCCATATGTCTAGACAAATGAAATTTACTGTATGCTAAATATGGATCCTTATATTTATAGACAAGTGTACCACACACCACTCATCAAAGACGCTTCTTTTTGCAGCAGAGGCTATTACAGAGTTCCACAACTGGTCACACACACAGACTGTGTCTGAGAGATGCCCAGCCCTAAATGACACATCTACAGAGGCACCTCTACACCTAAGGCTCATGGGACATAGAAGAACATCTTTCAACTATCACCAGCAAGTCTTCCTCATGTAACAGTGTAACGAATACAGAAGGCCACAACTGGCGAAGTTTTAGAGACTGACTACAGAGTGCGTTTCCCTGGATAGGCCTCCTATTTAAACCTCACCCACCCATGACTCAGGGGCCATTGTCGAAGAAGGGGGCAGAAAGATTGCAAAAGTTAGGGTTGGTGCGTGAACATAAGGAAACAGAGGACTCTCACACCTCTGGGAACTTGCTCATATGAACTTGCAGCACAATATTTATGGAGACTCAATCAGACCGAAACTCAACATAGAACTAGGGAAATAGGCAGCAGGCTTTAACCTTAGCTGAGAAACTATTGTTAGTTGATCCTTCCTGGGTGAGGGAGAGTTATCTTCTTTAAGAGAGTGACCCTAGATAAACTGCCTAGGTGCCAGTGGATGGACTTGAACTGAGGGACATCTTGGTATAAAAGCTTAACCAGATAGGCATTAACATATATAACAGAATCCATGAAATCCTATGAGGGGGGTACAAGGGGTGCATATGGGGGAAGGGTCTAGATCTGCTTAAGATTCATTATATGAAATGCACAAAACTCAATAAAATATTCTTTTAAGGAAAAAAGAATTAAGTTAAAATTCAGTAAGATATGAGCTACCATAGTGGTCAAAAACAAAATTCTGTGGTTAAGATGGAAGGAAACGCCTTATCTTAAAATGGTTTCATGTGAAAAGGTACTGTGGAAATGTCGATTCTGTTTGGAATTTTTTCTTACGATGTCAACTGGGAAGGATGTTCATTATGACATCAGTACTTAGCTAAACACCTCTCCCTAAATGAAAAACATGCACTGAGCTTCTGCCAGGCACGGACCAAGAGGTCAGCTTCAAAAGAATTTTATGACTTTTGTTATAGATTTCAGTTGCAAAAATGTACATTTAGTTCATTATTCTATGGATAAGTAAATCTTATCTGTGTACAAACATGAAAATGTCTTCCATTAGTTATACTGTACTTAACAAATATCTATTGAATGAATAAATGTTTGAAAGTAAAAAAAATAAAATAAAAAATAAAAAATAGAAAAGAACTTTGGGTCCACCTAAAAAAGTGCCAAAGTTTCAGCTACCAGTAGCCAGGACGGTTTCTAACAGGCTGATGGAACACTAATAGATGGAGTGCTGCAATGTATGAGAACAATGGAAAGCATTTCAACTTTTAGCTGTTACCATGAAGGAGGAGCCATGAGAAGGCTCATGCAAACCTCACATTCTGGTTTATCCTCAATTTGTCATTTCTTCTACATTGTGAAACAGAATTTCAAGGCCCTAATCAGTGATACTTCAGTGTTCCTAAACGTCTGTTTCCCTGAAGTGTCTAACTGATGAGGCTGAATCATTCATTAATGCCAACTGTAGGTTGCATCCAAGTAGCAAGGGGCCTTCGTTTTGGTCTGTCTATAGTTTTACCTTTCTAAATCTGCTTTGACAATGGAACTGAAAATCCACTGAGAATTACCTCCTGTTGTATAAGTCATTCTCCTTAATATCAGTGTCATCCCTGCACCCTGCAAAAACCCCACAAAAACCATGCTGGCCCTTGTGTCCTACATGTCTTCCAGGATGCTGATGGAGAAGGTCTTTCTTTAACTGTTCTTGAAGATAAAAAGTTGTGAACCTTACTTGTCATTAGGTCAATAAATACCTTCTAGAGGGTCATATCACTTCATTATTTGTTTGGGACCTTGTTCTAAATCTCAGAGTAAATACTATCAGGTGAGTGCATAGGCAGGGGTCAATGTCATCAGGCTGCAAGACCCCATGTTCAAAGACCAACCCTGTCTCTTACAATCTTTCTGCCCCCTCTTTGGCAATATTGCCCAAACCATAGATGGATGATGCTTAATATAGAAGTCCTACCGAGGGACACACACTGCAGTCTCTTATTCTCTAAAACTTGCCAGTTGTGGACTTCTGTGTGTATCTCACTCTGTTGTATAAGGAAGGTTCACTGGTGAGAGTTAAGAGATGCACTAATATTCTCTCTACCCACTGTTCCACTATGTTCCATGAGCCTTAGGTGTAGAAGTTCCACTGTAGATTTGTCACCTAGGACTGGGCATCTCTCAGATGTATATTCTCTGTGTGTGACCAGTTGTGGAAGTCTGCAGTAGCCTCCACCTATTGCAAAAAGGAGCTTCTTTGATGAGTGGTGTATGGTATGCTTGACTGTAAATATAAGGATCCATATTTAACATATGGTAAGAAATTTCATTTGTCTAAAGATATGACAAAGATAGGGTTTCAAGATTGTAAGAGCCAGGGTTGGTCCGTGAACATAGGGAAACAGAGGCTTTCAGGCCATGGGAAACTTTCACATATGAACATGAGCAACGGTGGCATCAAGTATAAGACCCATGCCAATTAAATCAGACAAGGGCACATAGTGGAGCGAGGGAAATGGTGGTGGGCTAGCCCTAGCCTGGGAACTGTTGAAAACTGATTACTAATGGAAGAGGGAGAGTAGACCTTACTTATTATCTCTAGGTAGGCTGACTAGAATCCAGTGGATGAACTAGCACTGAAGGACATCTGGGTACAAATGCTTAACAGGATAAGACTTAACATGTATGTTGGAATGCGTGAGATCTGGTGGGTGGGGGGAGATATGTGAGGGCATGAATGGGCATGGAGGGGTCTAAATTTGCTTAAGAACCATTGTAGGAAATGTACAAAAGCTCAATAAATTCTTTTTTAAAAAGACCCCAGTCCTGGCCTGTGCATGTACTATCAGGTCATAGGCAGATTCTGTTACTCAGAAGAACATGAATATTCTAAACATAATTCTCCATGGATTCTAGATTTCTTAAGAAACCACAGAATTCCAAAGAACTTTCCTTGTTGCATGTCAGAGGAGGGAGAAGATACATGAGAACTTTGAGTATTGAATTGGAATATGAATTAGTAGAGATTTTAGTGATTAAAGAGCTCCTTAGATATATCTGTCCCTCTAGAAAAGAAGTAACTTAGCAGCTATTTCCTGTAGCTGAAATAAAGACTTAAAGCTGATAAACAACGATTTTGATGTGTTCAAACACTCTCATCATTGATAGCAAGAACAGTTACTAGAGCTTACTTAGCACATAATTGCCAAGCATTAATCTGAGAAATTTATATTCATTCACTCATTACTCCTTACACAAACACGATGAAGTAGCTGCTTTGTTTTTCTCATTTTATACTTGGAAACAGACCTGGAAGGGATGATGACACAAGGGTATTTAGCACTTGTAGTTATGACTTTCCTCTCAGGGGAAATAAACCGTTCACAGGACCCCAATCTGTATGCTACCTGGAATGTGTCATGCAGCTCATACATGCCCAGGCTCTTTGTGAGTTGGATGGTGATGTGAGTTGAATGGTGACGTCATCTCTCAGAAAAAGTGATTTTTGTGTTTTGAGAAAAGGTTTCATGTAAGCCAGACTGGGTGTAGTTATGACTTTCCTCTCAGGGGAAATGAACCGTTCACAGGACCCCAATCTGCATGCTACCTGGAATGTGTCATGCAGCTCATACATGCCCAGGCTCTTTGTGAGTTGGATGGTGATGTGAGTTGAATGGTGACGTCATCTCTCAGAAAAAGTGATTTTTGTGTTTTGAGAAAAGGTTTCATGTAAGCCAGACTGGTCTCAAACTCAACTTGTAGTCAAGGATGACCCTGAATTCCTGTTGCTCCTGTCTCCACTTTCTAAGTGCTGCAGACGTCTCAGAACTGGAGACATGAAGAGATGGTTAGGTTTGTTGGTAGGTTCCAGGGAGAATGGGACTGAGACTAAGATAGTTGGTATGAATAAAATCAAAATACATTGTATTTATCTATGTACTTATCAAGGAATAATATAAGTATTTAAAACAGAAAAAATAAAAGTTCTTCCCCAAATCCTAAAATAACCAAGGATACTCATGTTGTATTTGCTGATTTTATTTTAGAAATTCAAGAAGGAACAAGATGGACTTAGGAAGGAAGCAAAGGAGACTGTTCAGGCCAGGGGGAAATTCCAGCAGCAAGTCATGCTCCTGTCTGTTTCAGCAATCACAGCTGCTGGTGAAGACAGGTGCAGCCTGGCCCTTCTGGAATGTGATTTCATTCAGGCAGTGGAGGAAGGCCTTTCTGCTGTCCAATAGGAGGTAGCAACACAGGCTACACAGCCCCAGAGCTGCTGCTTCCATTCCTGCTCCTGCTGGCTGGAAGGGCTGTTTCTCTGCAACCTGAAAGTACAAAGAGCAGAGCCATGACTCTGTGGGAGTGGGTGTACTGCTCTTAGAGGGGTCAGTAGTCTGGGGTGGGGGTACAGTTAGCTCTAGAGTACCTCAGATGAGATCAGTGAAAGTGCTATCCTCAGGAATTCTAAACAGTTATCATATTAAGCCAGCCTGGCTTTCAAGTTAAAAAGTCTATTTTAGCATCCAAGTCATTCAAGAAATACTTATCACCCAGTGTACACAAAACTGTTTTTTGAAGATCTAAATGCAATTAATGAATAAATTCACTCTAAGAAAAAAGTATAGAATCAGTTTGGGTCATTTGTGATAGGTTAGATTATGAGAGGTGTGGTTAGGGTTTCTTTATTAACTCTTTTGGGGGGGCAAAATTTGAGAAGCCTCATAGAGAAGTAGATATTTATAATGAAGGTCAGTATAATTAATGCAGACTATTCCACACTTTGACCACTTAACAGATCTAGAAAAAAGGAAAACCCAAGTTGGCCTGATTTCCTGTATAGTACAAAATGCCTGCTATGTCAACTAGCAGTTGGAAGAAATGGGAAGACTCTCTCTTGGCAACAGTGAGTATGTCAAGTCTACTTGATTGTACGCGATGAGCATGCCCTTGCTGTCACTTACTTGCATTATGCACACTGAGGGCTTTCTTCAAGGTAGAGGTCAGAGGGAAATTTCCTTGCTTGCAGAAAGAGCCAGTGAAGTCATCCATGTCAATGGCCCAGATCATGGCACCTCCGTAGTTGTTCTGTTTAAGCCACTGGGCCTGTTTCAGGATAGAGGGAAAGAGTACTTGATTTTTGGAACTTAATTTTGGGGCCTCAGGGCATCCAAAGGACTGACCTTACCTTGAGAAAGAAGCTCTTGACATTGTCATAGCCAACCCACTCCTGGCCCTTATAGGCATAAGGCACTCTTTGAGGGGCATTCCAGGCCCAAGTGGCTCCATTTTTCAGGAAGGTGCAAATCTTGAAAAGTCAAGTATTTAAAGTCCTTTAAATATTAATCCTATGTAAGAAAAAATATGTATCTATTTGATTTCCTTCCTTTCATGTCTCCTGTGGGCTTTCCTCAATTTTCTAATGGATTATATTTGTAGTTAAGAATATTGAGGTATGTGTCTTTTTATATATTTTATTTATTACTTTTATTTTCTGTGTATGTGTGTATTGCCTGCATGTAGGTAAGTGCATCTGTGTCATGCAATGCCTGCGGAGGACAGAAGAGGCTGTTGGATCCCTGGAACTGGAGCTACGGACAGTTGTTAGCTGCCATGTAGGTGCTGGGATTTGAACCCAGGTCTTCTGCAAGAACAGTCAGTGTTCTTAACTGCTGAGCCATCTCTCTAGCCCAAGGTATGTTTCTTTTTATGTACTGGAGATTATACTTAAGGCCTTGACCATGGCATATAAATGCTTTATACTGAACTACATCCCCAGTCCCTTTTTGTTTGAGAGAGGATTTCAATCTCTAGCCTAAACTCACTTTGAAATTGTGATCTTGTCTCTGCCACTTCACTGCTAAGATAATGGCTGTGAGGCATCATACCTGTCACATTTATTTATGATATATCACTGTACAGTATTAACCCATTTTTATTTCTTTGGTACTAGAGCTTATACTCAGGGCTATGCATAGCCTAGGTAAAAGGTGGACAATGGAGATATAGCCTTACCTTAAGTTATTTTTTAAATGTCCATATACTGTCCATATCTTCATTGCTAGAATCTGGAATCCACAGTAACATCCTAAGTCATCTATATATTTATTTTAAGGATAATATAAATGATCTTAAAAATGTGGTCTTGGGCCAGGCATGGTAGCACACACCTTTAATCCCAGTGGGCAGAGGCAGGTGGATCTCTGTGAGTTCAATGCCAGCCTGGTCTACATAGTGAGTTCTGGGCCAGCTGGGGCTACAGGGAGATCCTGTCTCAAAAAGACCAAAAAAAAAGAATGTGGTCTATTAATTGAAAGAATATTATATGTTCCTCATATTTAATTACTTGTAGAAATAATAAACACTTGGAATGACTTTCTGCTTACAGCAAGTAGGTAGAAACCAGAATGAACATTCAGCATGCTTTACACTTCAGGGTACTGCATATCTCTGTGCATGAAATTCATTGGGCACTGTACAGCTAACATACTAACCTCATAGTAAGCCCAGAGTCCAGTCTTCTTTGTGTAGGGCCCGGGATGGCCACCACGGTTGGCAGGGGCACCAATTCCAGTTTTGGAGGAGTCACTCAGGATGAAAGTGTGTCCAAATGCAGGGAATCCAACAATGAGCTTCTCTGCCACAGCCCCCTTTTTCTTCCAGCTCTCCATGATGTAATCCTGCAGTGAGGGTTAGCCATAAGCCCCAAGTCTGATGACCTGTGCTTAGTTACTAGCTCTTTGTTCTAACAGGTCATTTTTTTCCATGTTAACTAAAGAAGGATTACCTAATTTAAAAATCACATTTTGATGAATTAATAGCTATGAGATATGACCAGTGATGAGAGAATGACATTTGTGGAACCTGTATTGGTGATTTTGTGCCTGACTCTTCATGATTTCTGTCATCACATGTCTATGTAGTATCTTACTATGTTGTGGTAGGCTTTGGTGCCAGTGTCAGATGGGGATTTGTAGAGGGGACTGTTTTCTCCAGTGTAGCCATCCCAAGAGCCATGGAGGTCATAGGTCATAACCTGGATGTAGTCTAAGAACCTGTGTGAGGGAAAAGAATCAGTTATTATCACCACCTCTCACACCTATGCAGGCAAAAGACACCCTTTCCAAAGCCTCCAAACAAGGACCTAGGGCAGTAAGTCATCCCAAGTGTCAGTGTACTCAGCCTACATTCTTACAGGAATTCTAGAACAAGGTCTGTCACTCACTGTGACAGCTGGGGGATCTCATAGCCAGACTGGATGGTGGAGATGATGCCAATTACTGTGGCAGTAACCATCAGCCTGGGCTTTTTATTCTTGATGGCCTCCTTCTCAAAAGCTCCACGCAATTCCTATGGAATAATAAGTTATAGGATGATATATCTGGAGTTGATTTTAACTCTTTAAACAAAATATATTTCAAATACTTTCACCTGTTTCATCTTATTTTAGGATGTCAATAAAGTCAATGGGATAGATGATGTTAATAAACTTTGTAGGTACCTAATACAGGGAATAAAGATTTTTTGCAAAGTCTTACAAAAAGTTAGTTCCTAGTCAAAACCAAGATATAGGTCTCAGATGACCAATCAGAGCTTCCCCTGCATCACTATGCTCTAAAACTCTACTTGGTGCAATACCCTGAAAGTTGTCTCCATTTGTTCAGTAGATGACCTATTTCATAGGACTGATATCCTGTCCAGTCAAATACTGAATCATATAATAGGGAAGGAAAAACAGCTTGATGACAGGTCCCATTCAGTGCCACATGTCAATACCTTGATATTTTGTGTGATTCTAATATTACTTGGAATTTTAGGTTTTGCTCTTATAACAACATTATTTTTGAGTAACAGCAGAATGCCTCTGAAAATTGTCATGTAGATGGCAGTTGGAATGACTAGGACATTTAACTGGAAGAAGCATTGTAAGCAAGGTGTATAGCCGTCTTCAAATATCAAGCACATATATTGCAATATGTATGATTTTATTCTCTGCTGCTTCAATGGGGAGAAATAGAACCAATGTCTGGAAGGTATAAATTTTATTTTCTGGTATATCATGTTTCAGCTAAGAGTGAAGGTGCTGTTTCCTATAACTAGAAATGTTCAACAAAACAGGAAAGTTGATTTTCTTTAAGGGACTGACTACAGATAGGCTGACTAGACTCCAGTGGATGAACCTACACCCAGGGACATCTGGGTACAAATGCTTGACTGGATGGATCTTAGCATATACGACAGAACGCATGAAATCTGGTGGGAGGGGCTATAAGGGGGTACTGATGGGAGAGGGGGTCTAAATTTGATTAAGATCTATTTTCTTAAAATTCAAAAAATATACATAAAAAGCATAAACTGGCTTTTCATATAGTGGCTTGTGCTGGATAGCTTTGGTTGTCAAATTGACACACTTGGGTAGAGGGAGACTCAACTGGGGAATTGCCTCTATTGGACTGACTGGCCTGTGGCCTTGTCTATGGGGTATTGTCTTAATTTTTGAGTGATGTGGGAGAGCCCAGCCTGCTGTGGGCAGTGCCACCCCTGGACAGGGTGTTTTGTATTATATAAGAAAGCAGGCTGAGCATGGGCCAGTGGAGCTAGCCAGTAAGCAGCATTTCTCCAAGGCCTGTGTTCCAGCTCCTGCCTCCTGGTTCCTGCCCTGAGCTCCTTCCTACCTTGGGCTCCCTCAGTGATGAACTGTAACCTGGGAGATATAAGCCAAATAAACCTTTTACTTCCCAAGTTGGTGTTGGTCAGAGTGTTTTGTCGCAGCAATTGATGGTAAACTAGAACATGGCTTTAACACAGCCAATTTGTAAGCTGACTGATGATCTGGTATATGGAATGATGTAAAAATAATCTGTCTCAGAAGAGAGTAACTCTAAGAAACACACAGTCCTTGACTTTTATCATTCCATTAAATTTTTTCTTGGTGATCATCCTTGCTAATCACTTTAGTACAGTGTATCTAGGCAAGTTATTCATCATTAAATCCAGATTGGCACTCAACAAATGCCTGCTGACTGTTCCGGATACACCATACTCACCATGTTCAGAGGTACATCCGTCAGTCCCTCTTATTCCTGATTTACTCTTCATTCTCTGCTTATTTTACTTAACCACAACCAAATTAGTCCTCAAAGTCAGAAAGCTGGGATTCCTCTATATTTCATATTTCAAATTTACTCACATCCTTATTTATTTTATTCTCTTAAATACCTGTGCGTCATGTTCTTCCTTCAATATTAGAATAATTGTTGGGGCCCTGATCACCTTTCGCTTGATTTAATTCAAATGCTTTTTTTTTGGTCTTTTTGAGACAGGGTCTCCCTGTAGCCCCAGCTGTCCTGGAACTCACTATGTAGACCAGGCTGGCCTTGAACTCACAGAGATCCACCTGCTTCTGCCTCCCGAGTGCTGGGATTAAAGGCGTGAGCCACCAAAATGCTTTTTATAGTATCCCTGCCTCTTCATCCCTAATTCATCTTCATAGAAGATGTCAGATCAATCTTTCAAAGACATTTCATTATATGTATACTACATAAACACCTTAAAATTTCCCCATCATCTTGAGACTCAATTTCAAATTGGTTAACTCAGCATCCAAGTCCCCACATGATTCTATTTTTGCTGCATCACTCTCACAGGCTTGAGTCTCACTCATTCATGTTGACCTGTTCATCTACACTTGTGCCATTCCTAACTTTCCTTAATTGAATAATACCAGGTTGTGAGATAAATCATCTTTTACATAGGAAACTCTGATCTTGCTCTGGGTATTTTGGTAACCCTGCATGTTTTACACCTTTACCGTGGCATTTTATTAAAATATTCTGTAATTGTTGATTATGCTTAGCTCTTCAGTCTCAGATTGTGTGTTTTTTAAAGCCAGACTCTGCTTTATTCTTATTTTTAGCCTATATCCAATGTCTGACACAAAACATGTATCACTGGGCAACAATATCAGTATTCTGTTACAAGAAATGGACACTGTAGCCTGGAATCATGGTTTGCTATGAACTTTGCTAGTTGTGTGATCCTGTGTAAGTCACACATACCCCTTTTGTACCTTAGTTACTAATCTGTAAAATGAAAACTATAATGCTTACAGTACCTGTAGTAATTTGAATAAGTGTCCCCCTTAGGTTCCAATTTGAACATCATGTCCTCAATTGGTGGCACTGTTTGGGAAGGTTTTAGGAGGTGTGGATTTGCTGAAGGAAACACGTCAAGGGGGGTGGGCTTTGAGAGTTCTTAAGCCTTGCCAGATTTTCAGTCTCTCTCTCTCTCTCTCTCTCTCTCTCTCTCTCTCTCTCTCTCCCTCCCCCTCCCTCCCTCCCTCCGCGTGCCTACTTTCTGCTGTGGCCACCTCTGCCGCCATGACTTACCCATCATTATGGACTCTAATGAGGGAATCATAAGCTCAAATAAACTCTTCCCTTTATAAGTTCCCTTGGTCACAGAGTTTTATCATAGCAACAGAAAAGTAACTAATACAGTACCCTGTTAACTCAGTAAATAAACATGAAGGTGAAATGAATTATGGTTCTTAAAAAAGCATATGGTGAAAAATGTTTGGCATATACCTTATTGAATGAAAGTCATTGAAGTGCTAAGATTCTGTAACTCTAAATTCATATCTAGTTTTACTCCATAACCATTCTCCTTGGAAAGAACAGACTTTGAATTGTCAAGAGATAGAAACTCTTCCTTCCTCACCTGCACCAAGACAGTGAAGCGATGCTTGTCTTTAGGAGTGCTTCCATGACAGCCAGGGTACTGCCAAGCCAAGTTCAGCCCATCAAATCCATACTGGCGCAGGAATTGGATGACAGAGACAATAAAAGTCTGGCGGTTCTTAGTAGTGGAGAGCATAGTAATAAAACTAAGGGAGACACAGAGAAGTCAGGATACAGCTCAGAGGATCTGCACACACTGGCAGAAAAAAAGTATTGCTGATCAGTTTCTGCCTCTGATCCCTTCACCAGGACCCACCCCCAGATTAAGGTTCCTCTTGTGATTTCTCTTAGCCTCACTGTGCAATTGCTCCTCTTATCAGCAATCGTATCTCAGTATTCCATTTATTTTATTATTCCCAATTCTAACTTTCTCCCAAGTTAGCTTACTTGGTGCATTGTATTCCATCTTCAAATAGTCCCAAAGCTCATGTGTTTTCAAAGAAGCCTTTTTATTTGTGTGTGTTCCTTTATTTTCCCTTCTGTAGGAAATAACCAGATCAAAGATGTATCAAATGTTCATCTGGTCTGTGCTCTTGTGATATGTTGATGCTCTTTGGAGGCAGGAAACTAAAGCTTAGAAGATGGAACACCAGACTATCCACTCAAATTTAAACATATGAAAGTTATACTAGTCTTTGCTAGGTCTTCTACTTTGTACAGATGTTCTGGTGCAGAAATTTACTGAGTTAACATAGTCACTTAGTGAATAGCTTCATACCCTGTCTGATATTGTGAAGACTAAAGAGACAGAGATCATGCCGCCCTACCTTCCTTTCAATAGCAAATCAATGAGAAGCTCCCTGTAAAGGACTCACGGAGCAGCAGTTCCAGAGTTCCAGCATCCAATGGCCATGAGCGTTTTCAGCTGACTGTTCCTTTAAAGTGAAATATAAAAAAGAAAACATTCAAAAATTCATAGCTCCTCCTCTTTAAATAAGTGCTGCTGTTTGTAGTGCTGTTTGACTGACTCTTGTCTTTGTTTGATACCATATATTTTAAAGTTGTTTTCCTCTACTGTTGAATCTTTTGTTGCAAAAAATTCTTTGTATTTCTATTATCATAAATGTCACATAGGCAAATTTAAGTTTCAGTACATTTTAAAAATAAAAAATAATGTACTTGGCAGTATTTCAGGGCCGATATCTTCAAAGTACTGTTAGCTCATGTTCTCTTCCATTAGATAAAATGGTAAGTCTTGTTTGGGCACTGCTACTTTCTTAGTCTCTGTGACAATTAATACAAATTCATTGGGTTGTAGATACACACATTCTTGGGAACTGTGTTCTAAAACTATCAATTTCTATAAGAACAAAGTGCAAGGTCTGTGGGAAGACAACATTAAAATTCTAGACTTGTTGCCTCTTCCCCGGACATTCTAATTCTGTTGTGCTGGTGTAGAGATTAGCATATTATCAGGTAATATTCTTTGATGTAAGAAGCCTAAAGGGGTTTATTGCCTTGAGAATATAGTCTTCTAGCTGCATTTAAGTCTTCTAGCTGCATCTCTTGCAGTGCCACAGTGATGGCAGCAGTGGCCTGATGTCTTCCTTGTCCTGAATGTGAATAAATTGAAAACAATCTGCAAATTTCAACATATCTAGGATTGTTTTAATTTTTGACAAAAGAGAATTCTATTAAATCAAACCCTTCTGATTCATGATTTGCACAGTGTTTCGCTCATGGTATACTCAACCTCTTGCTTCCTGAGATTGCTGCAGTTTTGAGTAATTTATAAAAGCAGGCATTATCAAGTGGGAAATGTGGAAAATAAGAGCTAGGACTTTAACTAGGAGGGGTGAGGGAGGGTAACACAAAAAGTCACAGGGAAACGTTTTATCTTATGAACTTACTTTAAAAGATTATGTGTGTGTGTGTGTGTGTGTATTGAAAGAAATTTCAATAGAGAGTTTCCATAAGACTCTTTCAGAAATGTAGCCACCCTATAACAGGGGTTTAATGGCTCTAATAGGCACCACAGGCTAACAAATGAAAAACCAATTGCCAGGAATGGACTTCCTCTTTTGGAGTTGTTGACCAGAGAGCTCTTATAAACCCTCAAATAATACTGGCTATTGCCATTGCATTTGGTTACCTACCAGTACTTGGCCTTCTAATTGGATTTAAGGCCCTCTTTACATTATGAATTCCATAGCTGACACCTATCAGGTCCAATAACATGTGACTAGACAGGTCACAGACTATAGGTGAAACCTTACTACTATCATTTTGTTAAATAGAGATGATATTAAAGTGACTCATAATTATTTAATGTTATACCCATAGATGAGTATATCTCTTAATTATCACTAGAGAAGGTTCTTCTTGTAGAAGATGGAGCTTAACACAGAGACCCACAAATGGTCAATGTGCAGAGAGTAAAAGTCTGCAGAGTGCTCATCCCTAAATGGGGCATCTATAGCGCACCTTCTCCTCCTAAGACTCAGGGATCATTGTGGAAGAGGGGGTGGAAAGGTTGTGATAGTCAGAGGTGGTAGAATTCAAAGAAATTGTGTTATCTGGATACCACAGGGTAATTGGAGGGGACTAGCACCCCCCCCAATCATAGCTGAGGATCTACTAGTGATTGATAGATGCTGGGAGTGGAGAGTCAGTTTTCCTTACTGGTATGATGGCTGGTAGGTTTGATCAGACTCCAATGGCTAGACCCACACCCAAGAGCACTTGAGAAACAGATTAAACTCAATAGGCCTTAAAAATGCACTAATAACACAAGACATGGCTGTGTCTGCCTTTAATCCCAGCCCTCAGGAAGTAGATGCAGGTAGATTTCTGTAAGATCGAGGCTACCCTGGTCTGCATCATGACTTCCAGGTGGACTGGGACTAGGTAGGCCCTGTCAAAAAAAACCAAACAACAACAAAAAACCAACAAAATGTTCTAATAGAGGATATAAATCGAGGATGGGTAGCAAGATGGAGGTGGAGAGGAGGGAGGGGTTTGAATGATAAAAATACATTATATGGTATTCTAGAATCAATAAAAATATGTAAAAATAAATAAATGTGCTCTTGCTCACTTGTTCTTATTCTCTCTCTCTCTCTCTCTCTCTCTCCATAGGCTATCTAAGAAAACCCCAATGCTAGGCTTGGGAAACTTCTCCTTGAGTTATTGGTAACAGTAGTCCAAGAAACTCCCAAAACTATATAGGTTACCAGTATTGCCCTTGATGGTCTCCCAGAACTTTGAGGTAAGGCCCTATTGCTGAAGATACCACCTACTTCCGACATAGAACTTGGAGGAATCAAACTGGAACTGACGTGGAGGCCTCCTCCCTAAGGACTAGCTTTCATGTGCAGGCTACCAGGGGAGAAAAGCAATCCTTAGTCCTACCCAGCTGTAAAGCCATAAATTCCAACAATGACCAGCCCATCGAATTATCTCTAATGGTGCAGTGAGGCACTTCTTACTTGGGGGTAACCAATAACTGTCTAATTGGACTTAAGGCCTGATTAATAGGAGGGAATTCATGCCTGGTACTGTAATCCTAGCTAACTACCAGTAGCTGGAGGAGCTGTAGACCCTAGAGGAGAACTTACCACTGTTATTTTCCTAAACTAATAAAATTTCAAGCTGTATTCTAAATATGTATATCCACATATGTATATCCTTATATCCATAGATAAGGGTAGCCCTCAGCACTCATTAACAAAACTTCTTTTTGAAATAGATGGGGATTATTACAGAGCTCTACAACTGGTCAAAATGCAGAGAATAAGTGACTGTGGGATGCTCAGTTACAATTGATACATCCGCAATGCAATTATTACATCTAAAGCTTAGGGAATGTTATGGAAGAGAGGCAAAAAGATTGTAAGAAGGGAAGAGTTACAAATGGAATGACAACTTGACCCAGGAATTCCACTAGTTGGTTTATATCTAAAGGATATAAATTAGTGTGTTGAAGTGACAGTACTTATATTGTATTGTTCACAATACCCAAGATATGGAATCACTTTTAGTGTCCTTGGGTGAATGAATGGATTAGAAAGATATGCTATGGGCTGGAGAGATGGCTCAGCAGTTAAGAACACTGGTTGTTCTTACAGAAGACCTGGGTTCAAATCCCAGCACCCACATGGCAGCTAACAACTGTCTGTAACTCCAGTCCCAAGGGATCTGACAGCCTCTTCTGTCCTTTATGGGCATTGCATGACATGGGTGCACTTACCTACATGTAGGCAATACACACATATACATAAAATCAATCAATCAATCAATCAATCAATAAATAAATCAATAAATAAAGTTTTTTAAAAAGATATGCTACAAGACCCAAGAAAACTCAATCAGACAAAAACCCAGCACAGAACTGGGGAAATGGACAAGAGGCCATAACCATAGCTGAGGAACTCTTCGCAGCTGATCACTATTGGGTGAGGGAGAGTTGATCTTGTTTCAGGGAATGACACTAGATAGTTGTACAAGCTCCAGAGGATGAACTCACACCAAGGGACATCTGGGTACACAAACCTGACTTGATAGGCCATAATACATATGACAGAATGCATGAAATCTGGCAGGGGGTTTGGAAGTGTATAGATAGGGGAGAGGGCCTGAATATGATTGGGATATGTTGTATGAAATGCACAAATATTCAATAAAATATTCTTTAAAAGACATGACATATATACAAATGGAAATACTATTTAGCCATATGAGGAATGAAATATGTCACTTACAACATGTATGAACTTGGAGGACATTATGGTAAGAGAAACAGGAAGATAGCACATGAACTGTCTTGTATGTGGAATCTTGAGTTTTGAACTCAGATATAGAGCACAGACTGGTGGTTATGAGGCACTGGGCAGAGGAAAAAGATTAGAAAGATGCTTGCAAAATATAAAATTTCATTGACATAGGAAGAATGGCTTCAAGGATCACCACTGAGAAACATGGTGCCTATAGATTATAGCAATGTACAGCATTTTGGAAAATATTTACAGTAGATTTTATTATTAAAAATGATAATTGTTCAAGCACTGGCAAGATGGTTCAGTGGGTAAAGGCACTTGCCACCAAGTGTGATCACCTCAGTTCAATGCCAGCACCCACACACATGGTGGAAGGAGAGAGCTGGTTCCTGCAAGTTGTCCTCTGACTTCCACATGTGCCTTGCAGCAAGCATGTACCTATGCACACACATTACATTCACACACAAAAAAAATACATAAATGTGCTCAGCTTCCCTGGGCTGCAAGTCCCACCAGCCTCTTTCCGGGCTGACCTCTTGGCCCGGGGACACCACTGCTTCCTGATCCCTTGCATCTAGACAGACCCAGTTCCTTCTTGAGGTCCCCAGAAGCCCCCTGGGCCTGGTCCTGCACTCACCTCCCTCTGCTTCCCTGGGCTGCAGGGTCCACCAGCCTCTTTTCTGGATACCAGGGCTGACCTCTCAGCCCCGAACCACCACTGCTTCCTGATCTCTTGCATCCAGAGGAACCCAGTTCATTTTCCAAGTCCCCGGGAGCCCTCTGGGGCTGGTCCTGCCCTCACATCCCCCTGCTTCCCTGGGCCTGCACAACCCGCCTGCAGCATCTCTCCTGGGTAAGTCCATTGTGCCTTCCTGCCTTGACTCCCCCAGCCTCATCCCATCTACCCATGCCCATCTCTCCTCCTGGCCTGGGTCCTGTCCCATTCCTTGTCTTGGCATCCCAGACACCGGGAGAACCACACTGCTTCCTGATCCTTTGCAACCAGAGCAACCTAGTTCTTTCTTGAGGTCCCCACCAGCACTCTGGGCCTGGCCCTGCCATCACCTCCCTCTGCTTCCCTGGGCTACACAGCCCACCAGCCTCTTTCCTGGACACTGGGGCTGACCTTTTGGCTCAGGGCCACCACTGCTTCCTGATCC